TGAAAAAAACCACAAAACTTTCAAAACCCATTTCGAAATGCCCGCCGATTAAAGGAACAATAGAGGTGCCAATATTGAGTAAAAACTGAAATAAAAATCAAGGATTCTTAGTTTTATTTTGTTTCTACACTTAAACACAAACAAAATAAATATTTTAATTTCACACAAAATACTGTTGGATTTTTAAAAAAAATTTTTGTTTGTTTGTTTGTTTGTTTTGTTGTTGTTGTTTTTTGTTTTTGTTTTTTTTTTGGGGGGGGGGGGCATTTTTTTCTTTTAAATACCAAAGATGAACAAAGAGAACATACTTGATAAAAACAAAACAAAAAAAAAACAACAAACAAACAATACACACAAAACAAAATTTTTAAAAAAGCAACCGCGGAAGTAAATATTTAGAAAGTAATAAAACTCTGCATCGTCATTATGCAACCGTTAATCTTAAAAATCACAGGGTGTTGCTGGAAGATAATTAACTATTTGAGCCTTTAGTTTTTAGATGATCGTGATGAAATCGCGGTTTGCGTGGTGTCATTTTGAAAGCTTTTGAATATTTATTGAAGGAAGAATTCATTGAAAGATATATATTGTCACAAATCCTGAATTGAAATGTCAAAAATAGCACTTCATTGAATATGGAATTATGGAGAGAATCTGGCTACAGATCCACTGTATCCTGTATCGGTCTACAGCACTAACGCCGAGAGATGAAGACCAATCCAACGTGTCACGGATTGAAAGAGGTTTAACCTTAAGTGAAGTTATTCTGAAAACTGCAAGAAATTACAAAATACAACTTTTTGGAAAGATTTTTGTCTTTTATGTGCTAATTTCGCTATCTGTGTTTCTTAATGACTTCTTGGCGAGAAAAGTAATTTAACCCAGCTTAAGAAAATGTCAATATTAATGTGAATATAAAACAATTTTTAAACCAAAGCTTACATAAAGAAAGGTTAAATTATTCCTATAGATAAAAGAAGATTGCACTTTTAATCAAACTGTTTAAAATAAGCAACTTTGTCCTGTGTACACGCAGTTTTACCTGTACTTCGCAAATAGAGGTAGCGTTTCCGTGGCAAAGGAAGTTTGGCAACATTAATATTTAACTCAATGGACATTACAGTTTATAGTTGCCTGCTGCAGCTGAAATTAGGAAATGTGGTTTAGGTTGTCCTCAGAAATGTGACTGCTTTAGAAGCGTGGATTATTTATATCCGTTTAGAAATGAGACAAAAACATGAAAGTTACAAATTTTGTGAGTAGCTTAGCCTTGCCATTGTCGGTTACAAAGTTATGACGTCACTACCCAAAATATTTTACAGGAATGTCCCATATGTATTTGTGTGCATGTATACTTAACTTAAACAGGTGTGTTTCTGACTTCAAATATACATTTAATGACTGGGTTTAAGGGCAATACATGTATGCAGTTTGTCGGACCGAAGAACAAAACTGTTTGCCCGAGGCCGATAGGTTTGGCGAAATGATTTTTTGTTATACCTTTTATTTTATCATTTTTGGACATGCAGTGTATGTATCTAGCTTGTCATCCGTGATGTAAACTGAGGCCACACTCGGTTAATTCTGTCACAATCGAGATATAAAGCTCTGCCAATTGTGTGACGTAAGAGGTCCAACATCTTATCGAGAGGACCTACATCTCACTCAGCGGTCAAAAGTCATCAATTTTTTCATTTATGAGCGCCCAATAAAGCATTTAGCCTTTTCCCATATAGATTTGTGTAGGAACAAATTTTGAAAGGTATAACAAAAACAGAGGTGATTGTGATTGCACATGTTCTTAACCAATACAGGTTTTTATACTACAATTCAATATTGTAGGATCTGTGAGGAAACGGATTATCAGAAAAAAAAATCGGTGATTGGAGCTTTACTGTCGCGAATCTTTTGCAAACTGTGTTACACAATTAAAATAACGAAAATACAGAACTTTTGCTACTAAAACAACTGTAAGCAAACAAAATTTCAAGTGATATAGATAATCCTATATAGTCTTACATACTTAGTACTAATGCTCATCAGCACGATGTGGAACTTATGTGGAAGTAGTTTCGTTTGAAGACATAATTTCTTCAAGGTGCCAGTTCTATGGTCATCATAATGACTTGATCAGCAAATAACAATCTATCTTTAGGTCAAAATGCTGAATGACGTTTTTCATACCTATTGTTTGGCCATTATTTACACAATGAAATTTCTACGGATTTTTCCGTTACACAATCAGCTGGTGTGACCGTCGACAAGGAATGCTTACTCCTCCGTGGCTCATAATCCCGCTTCTGATATCATGTAGGTCCTCGTTTTCTCTTCTCCCGATTAGTATTGTAGGAGATGGACTTCGAGCTTGAATATTGTTCGTTATCTTTATATTTCATTAGTGAATTTAGAGGCATTAATTTTTGTGAGCATTGTCAATAACATGCTGAAGGCAGCAATGATGTGTAATTTTAAGAAAATTCAGGGATATATATTGTTTTATCCGTTCGTCTGTCAAAGTACCCTCTTTATCCAATTTTTCTTATATTTTGTGCAGTTGCCAATCCAATGATTGGCAGGGTGTATATTCTCTTTAGAGAAGACAGGCTTTCGCCTACATCCATGTGGATGTAGGCGAAAGCCTGTCCACTTCTCCAAAGAGAATAGCGGGATGTACTGTACATCAACATGTGTAAGGAGGCTTGGGAATTTTCATGTGACCGTTATCAAAACGACGTTATCCTGCATGCAAAAACCGGATTTTCAGAGAATTTTTGTCATTTTACGCTGTATGGCTTAATAGATGGGCTTTTTACACCTTTAAAAATTGGGAACTATATAATTCTAAGTTAAAAATAAAGTGTAACACTGTTTTACTGAGCGGACATTAAAAAAAGATGTTTGACCGTAGAATGGGATGTTGGACTGCACTGTGGATAAACGAAATAAACATCAAATGTCAAAATAACTAGAGGTACTGTGAGCACTGAGCTCACAAAATGATACCCCTTGCATCCAATATGATTATAATGGCAAAGTTCATGTTTTGCGAAACAAGTATCACATCAAAAAGTGCATAATGAGATTATGTTATAAAGAATCTGTGATAGTATCACTAAATTTTTATTCAGTGGTGTAGGAGGAGTTGCGGATAAGACATGGGTACCATCTTGTTCAGAATTCTGAATTTCATGGTCCATGTGCTGGGGTTTCCGGTTCTACTGATTATTTATTGAAAATGCGTTATTCTTCTCTGCCCCTGGGCATAAACAAGCGAATTGTTTTCCTACGTAAAACTCTAATTGCACACTGCGGCCCCATCCTACCCTAAAGGGTCATGTGATTTGAACAAATCTGAATCAAGACTACGTCAGCAATTTTCGCTCAAGTTTCAACCTTTTGGCTCAGTGATAATATTTTTATTATTTTATTTTACTGAAAGACTTAACATTTGACAATATTTTTTCAAAGTTGACAGTTAAGCATATTTAGTGGACAGTGGGTTTACTAGAGCCATAAAAAATGAATTTTGAACATGAATGGGTCAAGTCTCCATTTTTCGTTAACTCTGAAATGATATAGAAACGTAAATGTGAAATCTATTTCATTTGTCCAAAAAATGAAATCTGCACCCATTCTTCATGAAAATCGAACATTTCTGGAAAAAATGTACAATTCAACAAACCGTTCATTTAAATCACATTGACAAACATCGTTAACATGCCGTTATAGCAGAATTTTTAGCGAAGATTTAATTTTGGCATTATTAGCGAGGGTTCTGAGATCACTAAAATTAAATATCGCTAAAAATATAAACTGTGTTTTATTTGTAATAGCTTCATTAGTGGGCATTTTAAAATCGCTAAAACTACTACTCGCAAAAAAATTTAAAAAGTGTTTTAAGAAGAAATCGCTAAGTTTGTGTCTCGATAAAATTTCCACTTATACGGTATATACTTCGTAGCGTAGTGGTTAACGCGGTCGGTCTTGTGCCAAACACTGCTCTATGGAGAGAGTTTGAATCAAACGTGAAGCTTTCTATTTTTGTTTTCACATATCTTAAAAACATGATTGAAAAAATAAATTATTAATAAAAATATTGAAACAATGAAGTACAGAATTAAATGTGTAAAAGTAGTGTATTACTGAACGACTTTGACAATTATTATACATTAATATTTCCATTTCTAATATTTCTCTCTGTGATAACTCTTTGAAAGTTAGCGGAGTTAATTTCTTGATAATTCTACCGGAATGTAAGTTAGGCAGGTCAATAGGTAAGGAGCTAAGGAGGCCTAATGTGCATGCAAATTTCGTGCGCATCTGTCTCTGAGTCTGACGCTAAGGAGGCCAAATGTGCATGATAATTTCGTGCGGCTGCCGTTGTGTTTGACGTCAGTGGGCGAGGACTGTTGAAATTGGGATGGGAATCCTGTGTAATTTAAATCTATGTCTCCATTTTTAAAGTCTAAATCTACAATTTTATTTCACAATGAAATGGAAATATAAGGAATCACTATCTAGTTAGTATAGTATGCCAGGGACATCAACAATAGTGGGAAACATGGGATAATTTATGCATAACGGGCTTCACCCGTTATGCAAATTATCCCGTGTTTCCCACTATTGTTGATGCCCTGGCATACTATACTAACTAGACAGTGATTCCTTAATACAAACCATATAATTTTGAAAAATATAGCTTTCATGAATTATAGACTTTCTCAGTGCAGGGGATTGACATCGCATTGTACGCCTCCATTCTTTGAATGCAATTGCCCAAAGGATACTTTGTGCCATGTTTGGTTGGAATAAGTAAAGTAGTTATGGAGAAAAGGATGAAAATGTGAAACTTTTTAAAAGACAACAATGACAATGGCAATGACAACTACAGATAATGGACACATTTTGATCAGAAAAGCTCAGTTGAGTTTAGGCTTAGGTGAGCTTAGAAAAGGTAAATGTAACTTCTTTGAGAATATGCTGTTCAAACAACAAAACGATCATGTTTTCATTACTTTTATTTTCATTAATGTCATCAAAGTAAATACAGTTTTCCCTGTATTTGTACATACACAAGAATCAACAACCAGATACCTCCTCACTCACTCACACAGCTCATCAGAGATTCCCACCTTTCACATTTTAAACACAAAACACACACACCCTCACCCTCAAACACATCAACATACTAAAATGACACCAGCATATGAAAACTCAGAAATTTACATGTAGATCAATATTAAAACACATTTTGAAGGTAGTCGTATAAAAATTAACACGATTAACATCGCTTTGCAGTCATCAGTCATACACAACCAAGACTTGTGTAGAATTCACAAGGGATATTCAACAAACTCACTAAAGCTCCGAATTAGACTTATAAAATCACACTTATTTATATTGCTGAATTCATAATCCCTACTTCTCACCTTATTTTCTCTTCATAAAAAAAGTTCATGATTATGTCTTCAATTTTAAAACTTCTGCATATATAATTTTTAAAGCAACTTGATCTATGGAGTTGTATCAAGATGAAAGGCATGGATTATCAGATCAACTTCAATGCTTTTCATCTCATTTGATCCAATTTTAAAAAATATTTAAAGAAAAAATTTCATGAAACATTTGGTGTGTAAGAAAATAACACAATGTATACTGTGTACTACATCATCAGATTGAAAGAGGGGTGATGTGGATTTAGAAAACCAGAGAACTGGTGATCACACTGTCACGATTGTGTGAAATCAACAGTAAAATTGAGTGATACACAGAAGGTAATATATAATAAATATCTAACAGTCTGAAGTCAATTATAACATTACAAAAGGAAATCTAACATCATTTTTCAAAGAAAACCTATTTTTCATTTGAAGAACATTTTTTTTTTTCACCTGCTTCTCTTTGATTAATGATAAATATGGCATCTTCTTTATATAACAGTGCATTGTTTATTGTAATTAGTGCAGGTGTCACCTAACTCTGCGTAATAATACAATAAATCCAAGGAGAAGAGCAAGGAATGTCATTAAATAGATGTCCCAGTCAGGTCCCAAGTGAAATCGAGGGTCCAGCTTAGAAAAAAGTCTTTGGTAATCCTCAATCTGCAAAAAATAAATTATCAAACAGACTGTTAGCTCAATAGCTTAAGAAAAACTAATTAAGCATGTTGTATGTTTGACTATCTTGTGAGGACCACTTGAGTATAATACAATACTGTAAAGGATTCATAGAAGTTTACATCAAAGGCAATGCAAAGCAGAGCATACCCTCACAAAACTGCATATTTTATACCACTGCAGTATTTGACATCAAAATCCTGATTCATTAGCTAGACAAAATTTTCACAAGATGTGGTTTCTGTTGCATATAAACAATAATACAAATAAACGTAATAATAAAATTTTTGGGAGCAAACCGATTTGCATAATTAGAGGAAAATAATGTTCTCACGTATGCAATTCCATTATAGAAACAAGAACAAAACCTAACCCACCCACACACGTAAGTGTGTTACTACCAGGGTATATCCCCTCCAACTCCATTGCAAGGGCACAACAAAAACTTATAGATAAGATACATGTAAAGTACCCAATACAAGTTAGTATAGTCTATAATATATAGCATACGTTTTCTAGAATACCAGCAATGCTTGCACTCGGTATTAAAGCTTAACATGAAAATTATAGGTAAGGCCTATAAACAAACAGTAATCCTGCTCAAAAGTCCCATTAAACAATATACACTTATTTAATGACTACCAGGTAAACAGTCAAACTGTTGTATTTGGCAGTGGGGAAGACCTGGGAAACTGTTGCCCGAGGCCGTCGGCCTCGGGCAACAGTTTCCCAGCTCTTCCCCACTACCGAGTTCAAAACAGTTCAAAATGCCTAATTACAATTTATATAGTAGGTTAGGTAATAATATTCAAAATGTGAACAGAGTAATCATGGAACTCTTGAGGAGTGAGCATCCCCTAGTTACTGGTCATGCCTGCTGTTCCCCTCTTATCGTGATTTATCGGTTAAAAGAAAAATTGGTAGACAGGTCAATGTGAAAATAATGACCTAACGATTAGTAAGAAAAACATCAGTCAACATTTGACCTAAGAATAAAGTGTATTTCCAAACAAGGTCATTGTACATCAATTGTAATGACCATGTCCATATACTGCCTCATTTTAGAAATTTTGTAGAACATGCTCTTGTGTAAAGCAAGAGGAGACAAATCTGATATGCTGAGGTGATAACATTCACCAGGTATCCCAAAACATGCATACTTCTTTGTTACTTCCCCTTTCTTTATTTTAAAAAAAAGAAATGGCAAAATGCGCATGAGTTATGGGTGTGATAAGCCCTATTGTTTTAAGTGCTTTTTTCATACAAAAATATAATCGAAATTTTCCTTTTTTGCACCTTTATTCAGGATTATACAGTAAAAGTCACAGACCTTGAATGAGTAATGTGACTTCATTTTCTTAAATGGTCCTTTCACTTATATTACCATACCGGTAATCTTTTTTGAAGTAATCATCTCTAATATCTAAAGTGCATATTAAAGCATTCAGGATGAAAAGACAAGAGGCCCACGGGCCTTATAGGTCACCTGAGTATCATGTAACAACTTTCCAGCGATCGTATTTGGTTCGTGTTTTAATCCAAAAGCCATGAAATTCACAAATTTTGAAAGAGGCACCATTGCTTATCAAAGGGCAGATTTCAAAGCATTAATTTATTTTTAGTCAAAGTACCCCTGACCCAGTGGCCCTGAATTTATCTATTTTGAAAGAGGCCCCTCTCTTCATTATAAGGCCAGCATTTTTTTTTTTATGTTTAGGTTTAGTTATGAACATGAGAATAAAAAAGTCCTGAAGGAAAAGGAAATAAAAAATTTTTTTTGATAAATCAATTGTACATTCTTTTTTTATGCTATCCTAATAGGCTCCTTACCACTGGACACATAATGCTTACAAATAGTAAAGTAGAACATTTAATTGCTTATTTCATCATCTGCCAGTTTGGGCCAGTTATATATTGTGATGTTGGTCAAAATATATTTTAAAAATCAATTCTTTAAAAGTCTTTCAATATATCTTCATTTTTTTAATATGTGTTAGGTGAATGTGTAGACATTGTTCTAAAATTTACTTGATGCCTAAAATTATAATTCCTATCATAAAACAGACAGGGAGTATTGAGGAATACGGTGAACATTTTTTCAATTAAGTGTAAAATAATTTCTCTGGCTGATACAAATGATACTACATGCCTGTATATATTTGTATATTCTTGCCTTTTAATAGTTGAATTTTTTTTTTTATTTCTTCAGGTTATTGTATTTGTTCATTTCTTCTGACCTCAAATGGACTTAACTTCTCCCATACGGCATAGTTTTATTCATTACATCTGATGCATAAGCAACCCTTATCTAAAGAATGATGCTTAGACTGTAAGCTATAACAGAGACCTAAACAATGTCGCTGGCAATATGCAATAGCTACCACGGGCAGTTTAAAACCTGGGGGAGGAAAATAATTTACAGACAGAAACTTTTGAAACGAAAACATAATTATCTCACCAGCATGTCATTGTGCAACAAAGTCGTCAGCATTTTATTTGTCCTTTGAACGGGTGAAACGTTTTAAATGGCACTCGCATCGATGAATTTTACACTAAACCAAGCTAGCTATATTTACCCGCCGCTTCATCTTAAAACCGGAAGTGCGAGTTCGTAAATTTGAAATCTCGATCCCGACTCATATTTGAAAGAAAAAAAATTGTTTTATTTTTTTTCTGAAAATTCAAAACCTTGAGCGGAGGCTTTGTACAACTGAAAATAAAATAAATCCTGGCCTTAAATATGTAATTAGATCATTAGCATATTAACCAGGAGCAAAGGATAAGATGTTCAAAGAATTCATGCAATTCACTATATAATCATTAGAGCCCCACCCTAAAACAAGAACCCCTGAAGCTGGGGCCATAAAATTCACAATTTTGGTAGAGGCACTCTTGCTCATCATAACTATGTACTTAGTTAGATTATTTAATACCCAGGAGCAGAGAAGAAGATTTTCAAAGAAATAATGTATTTTCACTATATAATTAATAGAGCCCCGCCCTAACACCGGAACCCCTGACCCTGGGGCCATAAAATTCACAATTTTGGTAGAGGCACTCTTGCTCATCATAACTATGTACTTTGTTGGTTTATTTAATACCCAGGAGCAGAGAAGAAGATTTTCAAAGAAATAATGCATTTTCACTACCTACTTATTTAGCCCCGCCCTAGCACTAGAACCCCTGACCCCAGGGCCATGAATTTCACAATTTTGGTAGAGGACTCATTGCTGATTACAATCATGCAAACAGTTTGATTGCTTGATGTCCAGGAGTAAAGAAGAAGATTTTTAAAGATTGCATTAATTTTAGTGGTTTTGGCCCCACCCCTCAGGCCCCAGGGGGGCAGGGATCATGAAATTCACAATTTTTGTTCCCCTTCACCCATAGATGCTTTGTGCCAAATTTGGTTGAAATTGGTTCAATGGTTGCAGAGAAGAAGCTGAAAATGTTCAAATGTTAACGCACGACGCACGACGAACGACGACAGACGAAAACGGATAGCAATAGGTCACCTGAGTTTACTCAGGTGACCTAAAAATCAGTGTACAATTTTTTTTTGTTGAAAAAGAGCTTTTTTGGATAGAATCAGCAATTTTCTTTTTATAATCCAAGCATTTTAGTTCAAATGCATTTTAAAAAATACACTTTAAGGCAAATTCCATATAAATAACATCATCATTTATGTCTATTTATGTCTATAAGGAGGTTAATAATCTAGACACATTTTTAAATACACTGTATGGAAGTTTTTTGTCCCTTTTATCTGTTATCAATGCGTGATAAACTGAAAAATCAAGATTAAAATCTTTATCAATGTAGAACATTTAGATTAGAATGTAAGATTTGTGCAGATGATATGGATACCCAGATTTTTGTAATATCGCCGTGAAGTTTGCAAACATAGATATATAAATCCATAATCAATGATTACACTAGACAACTGATGAGATATTTACCAGAACGTAATGTAAATTTTCTCTGGATTTTGTAATCCAAGATTATATTGAGCCGTTCTCAGACCAAATGTATTGAACAGCACTCAACAACACTTCAATGAAATTACATCATAATAAAACAAAGTATTAGACAATAGCAGCATTGATGACCAGTCAGATAAAAGAGCTAAATCTGGGAAGCCAAACATCCCAGAACCAACTCCTGAATAAAGCCTAAAATCATCCGAGTCTGGAGGCTAGCTGAAGTCTCCAGTCAGTCAAGAACATCTCTGTTCAGATCAATCAGTGCAGCAGGCTGCTCTGTCCCTATCTCCCATGGACTTAAAGCTCTGACAGAAAATGCATCTCCTCATCTCTTGTCTTCTTATTACTAATTAAGTCAGATTAAACTGCCTGACATCAAAATGATGGCTTATCATAAAGGACTTGTATGCATAATCTGCTGTATAATGTGATTTGTCATCATATATCTAAGAAATAACTGTCTAATTTTTTGGTTTCATGATGTGATCAATCAAGTGGCTTGCGTGATAATTTGCATAAATGCCAAGAACGTTTATGCTTAAAATTTTCATGCAAGCCAATCGATTGATCATCGTCATGAAACCCAACAAGAGACCCATGGGCCTTATAGGTCACCTGAGCATCATGCAACAAATTTCCAGTGGTTGAATTTGATTCATGTTTTAAGCCAGATGCTATGGCATTCACAATTTTGAAAGAGGCACCATTGATCATCATAACTATACACTTAGCAATTACTTCGTTTGGTTACTTAATACCCATAGGCAGGGTAGGGGAACAAAAAATGCATTTCAACTAATCAGTAATAATCAGTAGTGCCCCTACCACACATGAACCCCTGACCCTAGGTCCACACATTGCACAATTTTTGAAAAGGCACCCTTGCTTATCAAAAATATTTGATTAATACCAAAGAGCAGATTTCAAACAATTCATTCATTTTCAGTATATAAGTACAGCCCCCCCCCCCTATGGTACCCCTGACCCTTGGGCCTTGAAATT